TGTGCTATTTCAGATTTTCAATACACTCCATTCTGTGTGATTTATAAGCGTTTTGAAAAGTGGGGACATGGGGTAATGTCCTGAAAAGTCACCTTCTCCTTGTAATACCTATGTCATACCCTTGTCATTATACAAATTTATGTCCTCATTTGTCACAAAAACGCGCGCGCGAGCGCGCGCACACACACACACACACAGTGCTTGAGAAGTAAATCGAAACGTGCGTTAATTCCCATGTATACAAGCAGTGCGTCCTAAACTACAGAACTCAACATCTGTAATACCACGGAAATTACAAAACACATGGGTAGCCGGTTATTTTCATTTTAGTTAATAGCAACGGGTTTTGAAAAGGAAACTCCCTTATCTCCAAATGATTTATAAAAGGACAAATCCTGATCCTGAGCATTAGAATATGCAACAGTTGAACGCACCAATGCTGTCCAGGGTTTGTAATTGTAAGTATTTTTATTTAGCTATTTTTTTTTTTTTAATCTACAAACTATTCCGGTGCTCTATCCTATTCATTTCAATTCATTTTATTTATAATAAATGAAAGATTCATCCTATTTACATAATGTATTGTGAAATGTGATGTTTTGTTACAGATTTGGTCGTCAGCATTGTGTGCTTTGCGTTGCTGTGGCGATGTAGCATCGGCGGTCCGGTCGGAGCGCGTGAATCACCATTGCGCCTCACGGGAACCTGCAACGAGCTTGCACGCTCACTGCTCTGGAACGTGTCAGCGGTGCTCGAGATAGTGAGTGTCATTCAGTAAAGCAACATATAGCTAACACACACACACACACACACACGGTTTTAAGTCTAATGTTTATTATCCGCTTACAGGACCACTTGTTCAGCGGTTTTGACTGCTCACAGCAAAACGCAGAGGTGCATCTCAGGAGGCAAACGGTGTCTGCTTGCACACCACAGGTAAGAGAAGAGAGTCACACTAAAATTATATGTGACTCTGGACCACAAAACCAGTCTTAAGCGTCAATTTTTCAACATTTATATTTATACATCATTTGAAAGCTGAATAAATAAGCTTTCCATTGATGTATGGCTTGTTAGGATAGGACAACATTTGGCTGAGATACAACTATTTGAAAATCTGGAATCTGAGGGAGCAAAAAAAAAATCTAAATATTGAGAAAATCGCCTTTAAAGTTGTCCAAATGAAGTCCAATGCATATTACTAATCAAAAAGTTTTGATATATTTACGGTAGGAAATTTACAAAATATCGACATTGAACACGATCTTTACTTAATATCCTACTGATTTTTGGCATTAAAAAAAATCTATAATTTTGACCCATACAATTGGAGTTTAGGAGTCATAGCGCATAAGTGGACAAGGCATTACAGTAGAATGACAAGTCCATTAACGTTTTTGTTTTTAAAAATAAGCATCAAGAGATTAGGTTCAATTTACATATAACCCTATGTATAACAGAATATTTTAAAGTAGATGTTGTTGTTGTGTTTTAAATATTCATAATTTTTATACATTTTAAGAATCTTTTTGCCTTCACTAGTTCAAATGGTCCTGAGATGTGACGAATAAATATAAAAAATTACAAATATTGAATAGTCATAAAACAAAAAACTATATTATTGTTATTATTGTTACTACTACCACTACTACTAATAATAACAAAATAACAATAAAAGAAAATAATAATAATGATACTACTACTAATAAAATAATAATAATAATACATGAAAGTGTTGTTGTTGTTGTTTAAAATAACTATAAAATATGTCTTAAAAGTCCAGCTTCTTGAAATGATGATAGACTCTTGTTTGTGAAAAAATTTGGGTTTATTTAAAATGATAATGCTTAATTATTGTCAGTGGAAGGCAGTGAAAACAGAGTTGCCTCAATTGCCTTTATTACTAAACCTCAGTATAAGTTTGTTGATAAATATAAATTGCCATTGTATCCAAAAATCATTATTTATAACGTTCCTTTCTTCATCATAGCACATTCTTGATTGCTGAATTTCAACATAATCAAAACATGTTACGCATTATGTTTTCCACCCAACAGAACTCTAACTGCGCTCACAGTGCTGTTCTAAATATTGATGAGGTAAATGTACAATCCATATCCCCAATTCTTCTGTTTATTCTTCTGTTGATTAGTGTCTTTTGTCTGTTACATTGACATATGTTCTTTGTAGAATAAATGCATACAGAGAATTCTAGAAGATCTCCACTACTACCGGGAGACATTTAGAGCTTACGCTAACCCAGAGCTCACCAAAAGTGTAGTTAGGAGGATTGATGACCTCCTGCAGGTACAATAAGCCAATCAACCAAACACAAACAGCTTTCTATAATTACTGTTAATTGCAAGGCTCTTTTTCACTCAGTGAATTTTCTCTCTCTCTCTCTCTCTCTCTCTCTCTCTTTTTTTTGTATGTTGTAATAGAACTGCTTCTCTGTCTCTGCAATGGACATCTCTCCGGCCAAGGTAAAACAGGTTATATTTATTGATAATAGACATGTAATGTTTTGAGTGCTTTCTTTTGGCCTCGGTGATCCTGTCATGTTTAAGTATGATTATGTTTTCTTCAGGTGTCTATGGATCATCAAAAATCTTTTCAAGAACGACTGAAGCTGTGCAAAGTCCTAAAGGGTTTCAACCTTCGAACAATAACAATAAATCGTGTTTTCAACTACATTTTGTCAAAATAGCAAACTAGCAGTTGCTACAGGCCAAGCACCTTTTAGTTTACTGTTACAAAAAGCAATGATTATTTATTAGTAAGTTATTTATTGTATTTAAACAGTATTTATTTATGCAATAATGTATGCTATTTTATTTTTATTAAAGGTGGCCATGCACTTCAGCAAAACCTTGTTGTACTAGTCATGCTTTGCCGTATACATAATATATAATTGGTTAATAATACAATATATATAATTTGTCTTATATATTTGTGGTAACATGGGAGTAAGTCACAAGAGGAAATGGCTTCAACATAGTCATATTCCTAAACTGAAACAGTTTTGTGCATAGAAATGATTATAAATAATGCAGACGGCCAATAAGGAAAGTGATTATTCAGGTTATCCTTTCTTTCTAAGATAGCCTATTACTGTCATTCAAAGATATACGATTATATAACCAAGGCATTGTATATTATAGTCTGGTAATTGCTTAACAGGTGTACTAATTTCCATTCTTATATTACCAATACAACTACATACTAATTCTTCTCTACTTCCCTATACCTTTCTGAACTGGTCAAAATGACTGGCATTTTGCAGTTTCATCATCAGTGTGACCAAATATTGAGAAATTCAAATTTTCTTTTGGTTTTATACAAGCCAATGCTTAATGACCACAAACAATTGCTGTCATCATAAGAGGAAGTCTCCAACCACTTGGATTACTACATTGTAATTTCAAGAAACATTTTCAAGGACAAAATCTTAGAATATTCTTATTTCATTTCAGCCATAGTAAGAGAAAAAAAGTGGTCAAGGTGCTAAAAAATTAATTAAAAGGGGAATTTAGTGAGAAAATTAATATAAACACAATCACCTCTTATTCTTATGAAGAAATGGTTCGTATGTCTCAGCTGTATTTCTGAATTTGTTTGAGGAGTTACAAAGTTACAAACTAACAGCAGTGCCGATCCTAGACTTCTGGGGGCATTTGTCCGTGTTTCTCTCCGTCTCAAATCGCGCTCGCTGAAAGCGCTTGAGAAACAGTGTCTCTTCCGTGGCTCGGTACGCTT